ATTTAAGGTATATATCTAGTAAATTCCAGACTACATTTTTCGGGTTGGCACTACTGCCTGATTGCTACCGGTTTAATTAGGCGGTTTTTCTTATCACTATGGCTGTTAAGGGGCGTTTTTCCTACAGCTGATTGTCTGCTTCCTAAAACTTTTATAGTCGAGTTACAGAGTTTTAGTGCTTTTTGTTTCAATTGTGTACCGGTGCGATTTTTGTGTTTTTCTTGTGTTAAATAGTAAATTAATTGCAATTCTTTCTCTGTATCCAATGCACGGTTAAATAAGGTTGTTAGTGAGTGTGTTTGGCTTCATTTAGTTCACAAAAACACTTTAGTTTCTGTGTTTTTGTGCTGAAAATGTTCCAAATAGATAAACATGATTGTATATTTTATTTTCTATTCATTTACCCATCCATACACTTTTTTCTATTTTATTCCGCTCTTTTAAACTATAACGTTAGGTGAAGTATATCAAACATTAATCAAAACTAATAGACATGGAAAAAATAAATTTCCTTTACTTGTTAATGTTGTGACAAGGCTGTGGGATTACATTAATATTTTTAATCGCTAATTGCTTGGCTTCTGTTTAACTCTCAGTCAGCGCGAACCAATAAAGAATGAAAGCATTTTTCACTGCTCGTTACATTTTTCTCCCTAGTGGTGCAGCTGCAGCTCTCTAATAATGAAAAATGTTGACAAGCAAATGGCACAAATCTCTCGCTTGCGCTCAGCTGCAGGCGTTTATTTACGGGAATACGGTTAGAGTGCAATTATTGTGATAGATTTGCAAATGGCGAGGCAAATCATGAACTCTTGCTCTGCCTCTTACCTGCCTGTTAGTCATGATGAACCACCCACCTTGATCTCTTGTGCATATTAGCAAATTATTTATTGTTGGTGAAAATAAAGGCCGAGAGCTGCCGGCGAATTAGATCATCCTGCGGAGAATAAAAGGATGAAATTTATTACGCCTCCGCCTCATTTATTGCCCTATCGGGACGACAGCGGTGATTGCTTTTCCACATCTTGGCACGCACATGCTCTAATCCGACGACAATTCTAATAAAATCTCTTGATTTTATAATCACTTCAACTCTTTGTGACATTTAGCACTGCGCTGTATTTTTATTTCTCTGCAATTAGTCCGTTGTAAAAACGAGTCGTTTTAATTTCGAATTCATATCAAACTCTTTTTAATTTACGGCGAGCGACCGATCTGAAAGTTATGATGGAAAAATATATATATAACAGAGTCGGTGCCGCTTATTTATGTGCATATTTAATGATTTGATGCGAGTATCAATCAGACGCATAATAATTTGTCTCGCTCATCGCCATTTCAATTTCTCGCGATAAAAACATCAAAAGGACGACCAGAGAGAGATGCCGCTCAATTAAAAAGCGTCACACTTCGTCAGAGATCATAATTTGCAAACCACGCACGTGTCACTTCATCCTATTAAGGAATACAAATCACAAAAGTTAATTAATGTTTTTTTCCATGAGGAAAATTGAATATTGGATTTGCAGTATAGTATGATGTGGTATTGTTTCGCGTATGAGCTTTTTGATGTTGAAGCGTTTATTGGCTCGTGTTCAAACAAGCGCAGAGTTTATCAATCACAGCCGCACGCCGTGATATATTACGAGAGAAAGAGAGCCAATTAATGTCGGGCTTAACGATAAACGTGATGATCCAATATAGTGCCAGATTCGATTTCATGTACACGCCTCTGTACATTGTCTTTTTTTTTAACATTTTGTATTTTTCTTAACTGCTGATATCTACGATCATTTAATAGCAACAAGAGAATCTTCAATGAAACCTGAGAAAAGTATTTTTTTCTGAATAATATATAAAAATTCTCAATACTAAAGTTACCAACAGATAAGTGTCATAAAACTAATTAATATGAACATAATTTTTAATAATTATTAGTTCTTTATTTTTATTAATCCACATAGTGTTCAAAAGTAATTGGAAATTGCCACGAAAATAAAAACAAAATTATAAATAATTTTATTTTTATTAATTTGCATTTCAAAATATTCGCAAAATAAAATAATTAACTACTTGTAGCATTTTTACCGCTATAATATATAATTTATATTCAAGTTTTTTTCTGTCAGACATAAAATTCAAATTATTGTTTGCCAAGATTTGAGGGAAATAAACCCCCGAATACTAGATAGGAAAACGAGGGGTGGCTGACGCTAATTTTATTTCACTTTTCGGTTCCTGATCAGAGAAGTCGGCGAAAATGCAAAAACGCAGCACTTCTTGCGTTGAGCAAAGTGAAAGATAGTGCGCGGCAGCGGCGATAACCTTTATAGTTGAGCTGGGCCCCGAGGGGGGAAATTCACAGGGAAAAAGTTATAACACAAAATATGTACACCCGACCAGCAGCAAGCGGTACATAGGGCATGTATTTAGGTGGGTAAAGCGGCGGCGGCGGCGGCAGCAGCAGTCTTTTTGAAAAGCGCAGGCAAGAGGCGCGGCGGTGTTTGGTCGTATTTAGCTTCAGGGAACTCGAGATCGGCCACTTACTAACGCTCGAATCTCCCCACTTCTATATTTAATATCATACTCCTACTCTACACTACAAATCTTGCTTATTGTAAAAATCCCTTTTCATTCAGTAGTTAAACGACCGACCCGCCACCAGGATCGCGCGCCGCGAACGCATTTATTTGTCCGCTGCACTCGCGCCCGCTCAGGTGCTCTCGTATTAAACATTTGGTGCATGTGCAGTGCGCGTTTTATCAAAAGAGAGAGAAACACGCTCCCGACTCCCCGTTCTTGTGAAGCAGTGCCCGCGTTTTTGAATTTTACATATTACTCGTCCGCCCCCACGAGAGATGATTTCTGCTGTCGCCGTAGAAGTGATCTGGCCCTTGATTAGCGCGCATCCGCCCCGCAGCTCCGCGACATGTGGATTTTGATCGCGGCCTGATCGCAACGTTCCTTTTTCGCGCCAATTCGCACCAACCGTCGAACCGATCGACTTTGATTTCCCGAGTGAATTCGCGAACCAGTTGCAAATCTGGCGCTGTGCTACACAATGTCCACCGCTATGGAGGTAAGAATATTGGGAAAGATCAGCAAGCAAATTATTTTTAATTGAGAAATATTATTTAGTAAAAACAAATACTTTTAATGCAAAATTAAACCTTTAAAATATCTGCAAGCAATGTTTTATTGCTTATTTGGATTATATTTAGTTTCTTTTTATTTTTTATATTTTTAAATATTTTGCATTTTTGTTATCAATTTAGTTCTTAATAGTTTATAAAATATTGTGAAAGTAATTTGTTAAGAATTGATGGCAAAAGTAAATATATTCTGATGACCAACTCACAACATACTTAAAAATTATGTATGAAAATACGATTCACGAGGCATATCTGTGACCTATTGTGAATTTATTATTGATAAATGACAATCTACATATCCAAATATGGTTTTAATTAAAACAAAGATGTCAACGTTTGGCTAAATTTTAACAAGTGTTTTACAACCCGTCATAATAATGCAAATTAATTAATATGACCCTCCTGATTCAGCTCCTGTATTACATTGTTAGGCTGAAATTAAAACTTCAGTAGTGATCAAATATGTATTTTTCTTAACGCAAAATATACAGAAAATATATCCCTATGTGAGCCGTCGCGGGTGACATGAACGCATGAAGTTGCCGCGATTGGCGGCGACGGCGTTAATACAAATGCGTCCGATTGCGATAAAAGTGGCTACCGCACAGCCAATGAGTCACTCGTTCTTTCTCGTCACTGCAATCCAATAAATATAAAGTGACCAGTCAATTACACTCGCATCAAGAATGCACGGCATGTTGGTTCTCACGCGCGGCGGCGGCGGCGGCGCGACACGATTAAAAGCGCATTACGATTTTTAATTCCTGCACAGAAGTCGTCGCCGATGAGATAATTTTATGCTAATTGGCGTTCTATGGGTGTACTTGCACGCACACGTATATTCTGGTCGCCTTTTAGCCCCGAGGCCAAATCAGGTGGCAACGCCCCTCGTTTGTATGTCCGCCGTTGACCCCTCGCGCCGTTCTAAATTTAGGACTGAAAGCGTACTTTTGGACAAATTCTTTTCAATTATATGCAGTTACGAATTAATGAGCACAAAGCATATTTATATTCAATTTGTCCGGCATAAGAGTGGATTATTTATTTAAATCCTCCATAAATAAATTACCATTTGAATAATTGAAATGAATATTAAGTGGCCAGGGTTAATTTGTACCCGTCCGCAGTGCCGGAGAACAGACAGCAAAATTATTCAAAATATGATTAACACGTCGCAAAACAATGACCATATGAATTTTTCTCTGCTCTTGCAGGCAGTTCAAGTTGTGTCCATTGTCTCTTTATTCTCTCCTAGGCGATTAAGCGGTCGGATGGTCTGCTTTTAATTAAAATATGCACGTGTGCGTTGAGATGACGAGCGTGTGTGGTCTATTTAGAATGGCAAATGAAAATATCAGGCAGAGCGAGCGCCGCAGCCCACAACGCCAGGCCTTTTAAGGGCCGCGCACCGCTCGGCCGAGAAAATTAATTTTGAGCTGAAAAATATTTAAACTTCTCCGCAGCCGGCATTATTCCTATTGTGTGCGCATAATGGCGAATTAATTTCGCGTACACATTCCTCCGGCGTTTGTGCGTGTTTGGACGATAATAAGGCATTAGGCTCGTAAAACGACGACGGCATTCTGCGGGACCGAAAAAAATTCCGCGCGTTTGCAAAACGTTTTGAAATGAAAGTTTGGCTTTATGGGTTTATTCAAAGCGGCGTATTTTTATAGCTGAGAGATTTATATGCGTAGTTTAAATAATTCCTAGAAGAAATTTCCAGAGGCGCAAAAGTGGATAAAATTTATAAAATTTTGCTCAAAACTTGTTCTTCAAATCTGGTGAAAGCTTTTCTGACGCCCAAGTTGGAAATTCAATTCAAATTTTGACTGATTTTGTTTTCAGGAGCGTGTGACCGGCCACTCAGGCGGGCTGGGCTCCATCACGGCGATCGGCACCGCAGCGGGCACGGCGTCGTTCACGTCGGCGCCCAGGATGACGCCGACCACCGACTTCCAGCCGCCCTACTTCCCGCCGCCGTTCCCTCCGCAGCAGCAGCTCGACTTCCACCCTGGACACCTGAACCCTGACCCGTACTCGCAGCTCAACTCCCTGCACCAGTCGGCGCACTACCAGCCCCACCAGCTCGGACAGCGCTCGCACGATGTCCTCCGCAGACCCGACGCTGACTCTCTCCACGTGGTGAGTACCAATTTCAATTTTCTGCTCTGATAATGACTTTGTTAAATTGCTGGTCTATAATTATTACAAACCTATCGGTTTTTAATTTTCGAGAGTTTATTGAATTCAACATTATGGTTTTTAATTAAATATAATAGCAAATCTGAACATCTTAATCAATCTTAATATGAAAAATAATTTATTTACAATTATTTTTGATTTTCTTTATCTTAAAACAAGTGAAAACAATCAATTGTGATTAATTGCTTGTTAGAAAAATATTAAACTTTAAATTTGTACGTTAATAATTATTATTGACAAATTAATTTTTTTAATTACTTTCCACGTACTTATGAAAAATTTTACATTTTCCACTTACCACACTGGAAAAGTACAATTCTCAAAATTAGAAAAGATATTTCAAAACAATAAACGACACAGAAAACCCTTTGAGAAAAGCAGTTGTTTAAAAAAAAAAACGTATTCAATTTCAAACGATAAAAACTAAAACTGTTATTTTTTTTTATCATTAATCATTATCTTTGACCATTCCACCGATTCAGACAGACATCTAATAAAAAGTGTCGCGCGAGTATCAAATTACAGTTCGTCCAGTTTTAATTAAATTGTCCACCGCGGTTGGCGTTTTATTTTTATTCTCCAGCTGGCACAAACGTATATAAAACCAATTCGAATGAATTTCACCGTATCAAACGGAGCATCAGAATTGGCTTTAGCAATATTTCAACGTTTTTTAATTAACTGCCTCTCCAGTGGAATTTCTGCGGAGAAAAACTTTTCAATCAGACTATTTGCATTGGCGACCATATAATTGCAGTCACTTTTGTTCAATGCTACTGCTGCTTCTTAATTATTTTATTGCACCCGAGAGTTGCATAAAAGCAAAAGGCTGCACGCATTCAGCAATAAAATGTATATCTTCCTTGTTTGTAAGGATAAAATATTTTTAAATGAAAAATAATTGAGAATTTTTCTCGATGAGAAATTGAATTTTATTAACATGTTGGAGAGATAAGTTAGATTTTCCATACTTTGATGCAAATTTTATTGCCGATTGAGTAAGATGGATAGCGCAGATCTCGCCAAGTGATAGTGAACTCCCTGCGTTATTTATCTCGATACGCAATCTCAAACATATAGAGTGATTAACTGTGACTTTGTATGACATCGAGTTTAACATGCTTCTTTCGTCGAACGACGAGAAATGGATCTATTCAACAAATGGATATCTAGTAGAAATCTGCTGCAACCGACCTGCAGATAACGATCTCTTTGTTAAGGACAGCTGCCTCGAAATTAATTTCCATCAAAGTGTGTGGTAAAATTCAATCACTGCGCTCGACTTTCCCTCGTCTATACAGCACTCAAAGAAAACGTACAAAACTTCCTCTTGCAACTCGCAATTAGAAAAAAAGAGAGAGACGCTGGACGACTTTTTCACTTTTAACACTGGTCGGACATCTCTTTTAATTGGCGCTCGATTCTCGCCAAAAGTGTGAAGAACGGCTGCTTCTTTTCACGCGCCGCCGATCGATGTATGAGGCTCCGTATGCAAATGTGGAGGACATAATTTCGGAATAATCGCCAATTTGCATAATATCATTCAATTACACGGGCGAACGCTTCATTTGGACTGGGTGGCATTTTCTTTTCATCTCCAGCAGCCGAACCAGTTTTCTTTAATTCTTTTGCTCTCTGCATTCCTCGGCTGTTGCCAAAAAATGCCTCGCCTTTCGCAGCAATTCCAAAACCGTCTCGCTTTTTTGTTTGAATTACAATTTATATAATTCTTATGATCATTTTTCTTTTTTCCATTCTCGTTCAGCACCTGTTGGATAAATTTCACATGGATAGCTCCGGCTTTTAAACGATGTCACCTCCGTGCACCGCGAAAACGATCCGATAAATTTCATTTCATATCTGAGTGCCCGCAATTATTATTGTCGGCGCACAGCGAGTGGTACGATCGGCGCTCACACATGCCGTAATTATTAATGGAACAGTTTCGTCTTTTTGTGCCGCGGCGGATCCCCTATCGCGATTTGGCCCAGTACAGGATTATATGCGGATTGTTGAACGAGGAGGTGCGCAATGCATCTTTGGCTTGGGAAAGAAAGAAGCTGGTCTACTTAAAATAGCTGTCAATTGAAGCACTAAAATAAACCGCATTTACCTATGATGTCAAATTTTATGGTTCTTTTTCATATAATTAATTTTATCTAATCCAATTGTAAGCAAATGAATTGTAAAAATTTAGAGCATGAGTATCATGATCCAAAAAAATATTTATAAAAATATTGGAAGCCACCAGTAAAATTTTAACATTTGTATAAAACTTATTTTATTTATAATGAAATTTTTTTAAATTATTATTTATATTTTATTAAATCTTGATAATTTAGTGATCAATTCTTCACTTTCTTTTAATTTAAACTCAAGGAACTTCTTGTTTATAATTTATTAGTTTTATGTAATTTTTTTTTTTAAATTATATTATTACTTCAAATTGCTCCATATTCATTATGATGCAATATATTGTACTTCTTCTATCGTGGGTAGGATGATGATCATTTTTTTATAATTGGAAATATTGGATTTAACTCTCAATGGATTATTTTGCCGTTTTTAAAAATTCAATTGAACATTTAATTTAAAAACAAATACTTTTTGACAATTTAAATGAGCCAATTTAAGAGAATTTTCAGTATTTTTTTCCTGATCTTAAATGAATAAAAGCCCTTCATGATATTTTATGCCTGAATTCGATATTTATTTTGCTGCAATAAGACAAAGGGAGGAATCTGCGACGGGCCGTTTGCGATGTATCGCAAAAAGCCAATATTATGTTAATACACGACCGGCTCAGCCGAAGGCAAGGCCGCTAAATTTGAATAATTTTGCATCCGAGCGGGCCACAGCAGGTGACAGTTTGGTGCCGGCGCGACCCACAGATGCTTGTTTGTAGATACAAGTCGCGGCCAGAGGTCTCACGAATTTTCCCACGCGCGCACCTTTCTCCGTCAGAGAGTATGTTTATCAAGCAGGAGCCTCCGTTATAAAACAAAAATGGTGCGTTGTACCCGGGCGGAGAGAGAAAGAAAGAAAGAAGCGTTTAGCACTCTCTTTTTAGGTCTATGCTAATTGACCGGGAAATGTCAGGTGCAATCCGGCCGTGAATAATTTTTCCCGCATACTCGGCCCGAATTCGGCAATTACTCGGTAGCAATTTGACAATAAATAAATTACACTCTGCATAGCCGAGGAAAATTATTAATGGCTCGATTCGGAACGGCGGCATGAAATTCAATTAACGTTGTAAATGTGTCGCGGAGAAATTGATTTAAATTACAAATGCGAGAGCGGTCGGATTATTTGTGGCTCTCAACGTACAACATATTGTAATGCATGCGCAATTATTCATCCGACGGCGAGCAACGCAGAGAGTGAGATTAGCCGCCTGCACAAACACACACACACAGAGACGAGAAATGACCAGACGACAGAGAGCGAGCCAATCTAGATAATTTGCAAAACGTCGCGTACACGCACTCGGCAATTAAGATGGACACTATCGAATCCGAGATGCAATTGTAAATGCAAATAAGCTGCAATAAACATGTGTGCGATGGTGACTTTACGATTGTCGCCCTGCACAAGACCACACCCGCCACATTGAGTAAAAAAAAATAATAAAGACTTATAAACGTTTCATATGCAGTTGACAATTATATTTAAAAAACCTAAAAATTGTAACTTTAACTCTTTTTTATGCCTAGAAATACTTGAAAATGTTAAAGTGAATTAAATTTAACAAAAAATATCTCTCCTTAAATTTTTTGCTTCGCATTCCAGCGTAATTAGCCTGAATAACTGCGACCAGATTTGAACAGACTTTTCCACTCAGGATTTTAATTAACTTCTGCAACGGGCATGCAGTTATTAATCTCCATTTTACTAAACAAGATAATTATTGTTTGCCCACGGCCCGAGCAGGGTTAATTGAATCAGCGCGTCATTTCTTAATCCGGCGGCGGCAAAAAGTTATAATTTATCAACGAGAATTGACCGATCGATCAGCAGGCAAATTGAACAAAGTCGGGCTTTTATATTCAGGGTCACTGCACTCGATTCTTTTCAATTCCGGCGCGATCTTGGGCAGGAATGCGCGATCGTCCCCGCGTGATAAAAACGCTCACTTACGTACTAAATAATGCATAATGATAAATTCCGCTCGGCGATCAGATTGCGCGCTGCCGCCGCCTCGAGTATTAAATTCAAGAGCGTATTTATTTATATTATTATTATTTGATGATGGGCATGCGAGAATAAAGCATTATCCAGGAGTCGAAATATTTTATCAATATTTCCCTTTGTCTTGACGCGCAGCAGCCGGCGGACGACATTTCTGCTGATGCTTCTTCTTAGATTATGCAAACGTATATAAATAAATAAGCGGCTCGGGGGCTTCCACAATAAACAACTAAATGATAAATGAACGCAAAGAAAGCAGACAATGCGCTCGAATCAAGTTAACGAGCGCCGGAGAAATTTATTATATTCGCTCATGTTGGCATTAAATACGAAAATTTTCAACCAATTCGAAAAGTAGGCTCCGCTGCTCATAATGGGCAAAAAAGGTCAGCGCCGTCAGGTCTCTCTCGTTAAAAATGTTATGACTGTATCTCACCCATCTTTCTCTCTGCGGAGAGAGAGAAAAACGCAGCAGCAGCCGAGTTGATGAAAAGTGCAGATACTCTATCTCGCAATGCAGCTTCTCGTCTGCGTCTGAAACAGCACTACTTAAATTAGAGATCCGGGTTCATCATTAATTGAAACATCAATCAATCGCCGCGGTCGGCTGACGTGATCCACAAAGAGTAGCGGCGGAGCAGAAGCACATTCGTTTTCACGTTAACACTGAAACTCAATTTGTCGCGCGCATACACTTTTCTGGCTTTCCTCGGAAAAAGGTCGTTTTGATATCTGACCTGGATGCAAATGAATGCCGGTTTCTGAATCACCTACCTGATTGGCCTTTGATATTATTAATAAATTATTGATGGCACGTACTTTACTCTGTATATATTGAAAACAAAAAGTAGCCGCGCGCATCCTACGCTCTCGGTTCGATCTGATGCTGGGGTTTGTTTGTTTGTTTGGACACATTTTCTCTTCGGCGAGTAAAAAGACAACTCGTCTCTCTGCTCGTTTCGAGTTTAATCTCTCAGTCTCTTTTTACGTTTCCACCGATCGGCAAGATTTATTCCTTGTTCTGTATGACTTTTATATCTTGTCTCGGGACTCTCCCGCGTGTAAAAAGATCCGACCCCGGCATAAATTTTCGCCCAGGTGTTGATTTTTATCAATCGGACGACGCTCTTGTTGCCAATCAAAATTAAATTAGACAAACCGGTGGAGTAAAATTTCAATTTCCAGACTTTCCAACTACCGCAGTTAGCGCTTTCCAAAAAAGTTATATATATGTCCATACATGGAATTGCGCAGCATAAAGTGATGCGGCCGCTTTGCACAGTCATGAATAATAATTTCCAAATAAATCACGAGCCTGTTAAGCGTACTCGGTGCAGCAAATTGAGATCAATCCGTACTTGAGCGAAGGAAGAACATATGAGGACGTGAAGACGTTTTCTGTCTATAAAGTGATATCAATTGATCAAAACCTGCCTTGGCGGTTGCAAAACTCTGTTGAATGGAAATCGTTCTATGATCTCAATCAGGAAAAAGGTTTGTGATAAGATTTACAAAATTAATTGCAGTTTTTTTTCTTTTTAATTTTGTAAGCTGTATTAATTCATAAATTATTTATTTTCGGGCCATGTGCAATTCGTCTCGCGAATGTCATGTCCTCGGGCGGCGTTTGCACGCTTTCAAATTGAAAATATTGATAAAGTGGCATCCCTAATTGGGCAATTCGGCGTGAAAGGTGCGATCTGAGAGCCGTTACCGCCGCGCTCTTCATTACACCTTATCTCGCGAATGTGTACACGCGCGACGGCCCATTGTCTTTGCATCTCTTTCTTTCTCTCTTTCACTCCGCCAGCAGTGAGGAATGTAACAATAATTGCTGGTCACAACAATGAGCACGGCAGAGGGAAAGAAACGCGAGTGATGGATCGCAGGCAGATGAGCAGATAGTCGATGATGAGCTTGGAAGCCACACCCTGCCGATGGCCGGCAGCTCAGCAGCTGATAAGAAAGGCCTCCTTCACTTTGCCTGCAGATGACAAAATACATACACACGCGAATCCCTACCGCCGCATGACTTGCGCATAAAAACAACCCATTGTTTAAAAAAAGAATCCGTTTTTCGGGGTCATTCATTTTTCCTCGCCGGATTGAGATTTAAAATTGTATTTTTCGCGAGAGGGGTCTGGATTTTTGTTTTTGTTCAAGTTTCCCCTCGCTGAATTTCTGCAGCAATAAAGGGTTGGCGGGTAAATGTTAACAATCCGGTCGGGCTTGAGCTTCTTCTTCTTCGCTCTGCGCTCATATCAAGTACAGCAACAGACTGCATTCCAAGGAGTTATATAAGACGAACAACTTTTTGGAGTAACTGGCAAACTTTATACATGCTGATGAGATGATCTTAGTGGAGAATTCCAGCAGCAGATGATGAGATGAGAGAGCCGAGAAGGGAGCTGCTGCTCGGATGGGGTGCCGAGCTGAAAGGGGATCGCGCAGATTTTCAATCGAAAATATGAAATGTGTATTAGAGAGAGAGTAGCTAGGCTGCTATACACAAATTCCCCTTGCCGAACTCTATGTATGTAGAGCATTGCGAGCCTCCTTATCATCGGATGACAACGGGACATTCCTCGCATTCAACGTGATGATGAAGACACATTTCATACAACTACCCACCCCTCCGCGTGCTTCAAGTATGCTCCACTTTTTGCACGGCGGCTGTGCCAGTTGCATACTTTCCAATAAGCAAGGCGCCTGGATACTCGAAAAGAAAGGGTTTCCTTTTGGAGGAAATTTGTTTCCTAAAAATGAGAAAAGAATGTTGAAGAAATAATTTGCAGTTTTACTTTTGGGGAAACATTTTTGAAAGTAATTTTTACATAGCATATATGTCATTACTAGTACTTTTGTAGGTTCTTTCCCGGAAGAAATAATAGCAAATTATTATTTAAAAACACTAAATATTAAAATTTAATATCAATAAATTAATAGTAAAAATTTTACCTCAATAAAAACATTTCTGTTCAACCAAACCCTGCTCATCCCGAAATTATGTTGGTACACTGCTGCCGTCAGAGCCATGGGGCCTTATGGCTCTGGGAGGTAGACATCTTTTTTTTTGGCCAACATAACAGAGCTGATGAGCAGGGTTTGTGTTCAACTTTAAATTTATTAATTTATTTTCATTTTATAGAGTTTTTCTTGCAAATTTAAATTATTTATCACTGGGCAATAAGAGTTCAAATAATGCATTAAAATATTTTAAAATCTTAAAAATTAAGAATGCATAAATTTAATCACTTGATTTTTTAATCATAGATTAAAAGAAAAATATCCATAGATAGATATATTCCCAGGAGTTCTAAATTCTTCTGTAAATTCCATTCATTGAAATATTCTCATTTTCTATTGTTATTCGAAACGGAAACAATAAAATATCACGCTGACGTATTCGCGCGGAAATCTTGCGCGCATTATCCTTCAAGTGGGCACGCAACTTGTGACTAAGCCGAGTGCACTTCTTCTTCTTCTTTTTCTTATATACTCGAAGTGCATCCGAGGCAAATAACGTATTAATTAAAAATGACAGGCCGACTTAATTCCTTGTCAACCGCTCGCTCATCCTTGAGGCTTCGCAGGTCGGCAGATGCATTTCCATAACACAATAATGCAGTCACATGACCGCCGCTCGCGATTATTACGATGATTGCATGCGCGCTCCGACCGACACACACACACAGCTAATGTCTTTCGCGGCTGCAGTTGTTATAAAATCTGAGCGGCGCATCTCTACGTGTCTCTCTCTCGCTCGCTCGTTACCAATGATCCTAGTATAGAATATGACCATATATTAAACGGCGAAGACGTGCGTGCAGGTGACACACACTCGCGCAATCCACACGGATGCTGCACTGCCGAGTTCACGGCCAAACTGCAGGCAGGTGCATATAATATACTCTGCGTGCGATGAATTTATGCATCTCATTTTGTGTCGCGATCGCGCGAAAATAACGTTTATTCCTGTCTTAAGTGCTGCATGGGAAAAATAGGAAAATGTACAGTAAACGAGAAAACAATTCAAGGTTTTTCAAAGTCAAATCATTCAAGGAGTGGGTTTATTTCGAGAAAAATACATAAGAAATGAATTTCAGGCTTCAATAAAATATTAATATCATTTTATCGACAATTAAATGTTATTAAATTGCTTACAATGAGATTTACCTTTGTTTCATAAAAAGTATCAACAATTCTCATTTAAAAAGAATAGATAAAAATTTGGGCTAAAAATTATTTCTTGAAAGTAATCCTATCAATTATGCAAATACGACAATTTCCTATAATTTAACTTCGTTATTTTTAGTAAATTTTTTAAAAATTTATCCTTTCTAAAAACTTTAAAAAGGTGCAGCAGAAGGGTAATATTTTTTCATGTTTTTCTCATCTTCCATCATCTCACAAATCACAAATAAAGACGTCGCACCAATCTCCTGGAATGGCTTTTTTCTACACACGGGCAAAATAAGCAAAGGTTCTTCTTTTTCCCCTGACAAAGTTTTTGTATATATCGATAAAGGCGGCGAAAATCGGTGCCCCACAACACAAGGTGCTCCGCTGTGGATGCCAACCTTATTTGATAGTGTCACTTGATACCGTGCATAAAAGAGGATCTAACCTAATGATATTCGTCGCGTACACGCCCATGATTGACGCATAAAATGTTTACATCTCTCCAGCTAGAGCTGCTCTTTCTCTCTCCAACCTTTTTATATACATTTTCGTTTTTCTGCTGTTAACTTTATTTCCCATCGCGCGACGAGGTATCATCCTCCAAATAAACTTGTTTCACTTCGGGAGGATTAAATTTTTAACCGTGCCATAAAAATGCCACTCGCAGAGAGAATATCTCACCTGCGCTGATGGTCGACGCAGGAATCGCGCTGCAGCAGCTGCCTGCTTCGCCACCTCTGCTCGCGCCCATCACCTCTTAAGTGCTGTTGGCTGCTCCTCGGAAAATTGTTAAAGGCCACTTAGTGGTGGTGCATATTTTTTTTTTCGTTCTTTATTTCGAATGGCCACTTTTACGACGAGTCTCTCTCTCTGGAGATGGGACTGATTTGGCCAAAGAAAAGTGGGCGCACGTGTAAATTATCTAGTCACGGCTGTTTTTAATATTTTTAAACTTTGTATTGTTCTCCAGTGGGCATGGGCAAATAAGTTTTGATTTTTATTCTTGACACTCTTGACTCTCTCTAGTTATTTTCACAACATCTGGTAGTTTTGAGTGAAATATATATTTTCTTAAATTCATTCATCGTGGATTTTTTTGTATCTTGATCTTTTAATTAATCAATGAAATTTTATCTCCCCTGCTCAATTTTATAAAACTTCACGAAATGATAATAATAATATGATATACATAACAATTATAACTCTGTGACAGCAGATTGTATTTTCTTCATTATAATATATTATTCCGATTATTTCTACTTCACCAATAGAACAAGTAAATAAACTATTTATTGCAATATTTATTATGTACTAGCTGACCAGAATTGTGTTTGTTTTAATTGAAATTTGATTCCAAACAATTTAATTTACAAATTATTAAAAAATATATTTTATCTTATGAAAAAATTAAATAAAGAAATAAGCATTTAAAACACTGAAAATTAAAATATAAATTTAGATTAATCATTGTAATAATTTTATATTTGCTTCATCTGAAATTTAATGTTAATTGCGTTAATTTGTTTCAGGCAAACATGCACTCAGCAGCCGCGTTTTCGTACGAGACAAACCGCCGCAGCGAGTACGGCGTTCGCAGACCCGACGTCCTGGTGCCATCCGGCCACCCCGGACTCGACGGACAGGACTCGCTGGTCCTGCACAATGCTCTATCTAGCGTGGACGACAATCAGGTAGGAGATTGATTACCTTTGTTTTTCTCGTGAGAGAAAGAGAGACCACGAAGCAGCGCGCGCACCTCTCTCGAATAAAAAAAAAACGATCCGATCGCATTCCAAATGGAAATAATAAAAAATATGATCTCCGAATATTTGTATTCCGAGAAGACCGTCGGGCCAATTTGCCACCTGCGGACAAAATCGGTTCTGCTCGATTGGTCAAAAAATTGGCCCCGTAATTGATGACAAAAATCACACAGAGCGCGCACAGATCGACTACATCGGCCTGTGGTTTGCGGTAATGATTTTAAATACCTGCAGATGGAAAAATATATATCTCGTCCACATGAATCTTGGTCTCGGCGTGTGCTGTTGCTTCTATTCTCTTTATATGCGCCGTGTGTGGTCACACAATTAATGCCCGACATTGTGCATATACGCGCAGCGATGAGGAGCATCCCGGCCGCCGCTCTCTATTATAATGTGCCTCTCATTTCTCGGCGGCCGAACAATATTTCATTAATCATGACGTGCAGAAGTTTTATTATTATTTTATTATTGCTGCTCACGACGACACGCCGACAATGTGCAGCGAAAAGCGCCGAGTGAAATATGACCGCCGTAAATTTCAACGAAATGCAAAATTTTCCGTTTTCGAGCGGAGAGTGAGTTATTGCGGATCGCGGTTGCGACATCCGAGACGCCGGGACAATGGCCAGGCCGAGAGATTGCGTCGGCCCCTCACAGTCCTGCTCCCCGTATCTATATTTTCCTCCTGCGCGCTCTGAAAGTGATTGAATGCCTCATCACCGATACATACGTTGGCGCTTTTTTTGCCGGTCTTTTCACATTCAAGGTGCAGAAATATACGCGCATTAGAATGCACGAAATTAGCCTCTTGTCAGAGCGAGCAAATGAGATCATCGCACCGAGCGAAAGTTTTAATTTGTCCGGCCAGATTGTCGGTCTGGACGATAATTATCTCGCAGTAGAAAAGATGAAGGAAGCGAACTTTCCTTTTCCTCTCCTTAACGAACGGTGATGCTGAGCTGCTGTATCATTTTGTCAGTTGAATACAACCGGAAATATGTATTTGGTCAACATGACTTGGGCTGAAGTAAATATTGTTGTATTTAGTTTTATTTAATTTAAATTTAAATTAGTCTTTGAATTTTCAATATGATTATTTTTTATTTACGCTAATTGTCATAGTTTTATTTTTTTTTTTTATATTTGTTTTATATATTTTGTGCAAAATTATTTAAAATTTTGACTATGCTTACAAATGGAGTCATTTTAAACTTATTTAGTACATACAAAGTGTTTGAATACAGCACTGACTTAAATAATATTATATCTATAAGATTAATAATCTCTCATAATGCTCCTTTTTTACCTTATTTGCATCATCTCATCAAATGTGTCTAAGATTCATGAAATAAAATAATATTTATTGATTTGTAAGGGAAAAGAACAAAAATGTGTAGAATTCTACAATTTTGCACGCTCATTGATGAGAGCGAGTTGAGCTCATCAGCAATTTGAATGAGCGGTGAATGAAAAACAAGGAACAAGCCTGCGGTGGCGTATGACTGAGTGAGTGACTGGTCGGCGCGCCGGGTCGGGACTAGTCCGCGTCTGGCTCGCGGGCTGGCCATTATTTTATTATTACACGGCGCGCGAGAGACTCAGCTGCAGCATCGGGGGATTTACTCCGGTTGAATGAAATGCCTCAAAATCGCCTTGAGGTACCCATCGCATCAATGGCGCATTTCATTATCCACTCAAGGTGGGGCCCGGCGGCGAACCGAAAGCCACGTGGCGCGCGTTGCGGGTCAAGTACAGAGGTCAGCACGCCTTCTTGCACTGGTCGCTGTAGGCTGAGATAAATAAATTAGCCGAATAGTTATATTGAGAGAAACGTGCTCTGCTCGGGTCAAATCTCGGTTTTTATTGCACTCACGCGCTCCTCATTTACTATTCTACACATTTTATTGACATCAGATAAGTGTTAATATGCAAATTCTAAAAATTTCATGAATATATTTATTTTATTTATTGCTAGCAATTTATTTATTTTAATGTCGATAATTTCTTCTGATATTACTCTTTCTAAATTAAAAAAAAAAAAAATACAAAACCCTAAGACAATTTTTAATTTTTTTTTTTTTTTATTCAAGGGCAATGATTTATAAATTTTATTTTTCTGGTATAAAAATTCTGGCACACAATATAAAAACAAATTTTTACTACGCAAATTATCTTCCTTCACTTTAGAGAAACAAAAGATGCCTCGTATTATTGTAATTTGACACCTGCTTGCAAAAATTTACAGTTACGAAACAACCCACGACCCTCTAATAAAACGGCCGATAGATATTTTAGCGCGAAAATCGCCTCATTTGCACTCATTACTGTCAATGTGCGAAAGAAGGCGCCTTTTTCGCGCTGCACCAAGAGTGGGCTTTCTCACGGTCCTTTTGGCCATCTCGCTTAATATACGATAACTGTAAAATCAGCTTGATCAGGATGCCGCGTTTCGGAAATAAATCTCGTCAAAGGAGGCTCGCACAAGAAAGAAAGAAAGAGCGGTGCTGCATTTGAATGTAAATGTGCGCGTATACATAATTCTTATCGCACTTAAATCTGGTAAATTAATGAGCCGGGCTTACAAATTTAGGCAGAGAGATTCGCCTGGGATAAAAAGCAACGAAAATATGGGCGAGGTTTTGTGACTCATGCGCAACAACAATGTGCCGTTAATATATATAAATTTTATTAAGAGAGGAAAAGAGGAAGTTTTTAATTTGATATTTTCATCGGTAGATATTTTGCGAAATAATTCTTCGAGTGCAACTCGTCCTATTAAGCGGTTCGTCCCACTCGTTTAGCGTCAATTAAGAGCGGGCAAATTAAGTTAGCCACCGGTGTGCGCGCGATAATAAATGCAAGTGGCCGCGGCGCGAGTGGGAGTGCATAATGATATTTTAATTGAGGCATTGCATTGAGAGTGCGCGCCGATAACAATCAATTTTGCCATATATAAACGCAGGGAGTAATGATAAATGATACGCGGGCATTAAAACGAGAGTGAGCGCAACTCTTCTTATAAGTAAGTTAAGTCGGCAAGTAAGCGCCGAGAAGTGCACATGTATTTACACGCGGGTAATGATTATGCATCACTCTCCTCGCACCGCCGCTTGACCACGTAAATGCCATTAATGCGCGGAAAATTTATATTGTATAACACATCTGCTGATATGCGATTCTCGCCAGCATCATTATTTGCAATAAATTTCATTTACAATTATTGACAGTAATAAATACGTTGTTGCTCTCTGCATTAATCGCGCCGCTCAATCGTACCGAAGAAGAAGAAGTGCGTTTAATGCCCAGCGCCGCCAAGCACTCTATTCTTCTCTCGCGCTGCTCATTATAAATAATCGTGCGCCGGTGCTCAATCACCTGATTGGAAACTGCATGCGTGCGGAATTAAGTTATTATCCTGCGAGAGTTGCACTGACGCCGCGGCTGAAAATTGTGAATGGAAAAGTTCAATTAATCGTTTGTGCATAAAAAAGAAGTTCCTGGATATGAAAATTAATCACCGACTTGGAAAGTTAAATTTTGCAAATTTTTGTAATTGGAAAAAGTTTGGAATGATTGATGCAATAAACCTCTTGTATAACGAAACTGATGTTTTCACAACATTTATTATCAAATAAAACCACCATCATTTATAATTAAATCTGAGAAATTAATTTTTCATTTACCTTTTATGTGAACAATCTAACCAAGATTGCTCTTGGCAAAACTTGATTAAAATTTTATCCTGAGCATATATTTATTTTTTCATTTGGATTCAAATAGATCCCTTGAAGCTATTTTATACAATTTGAAAGTTCTCCAATTGTGGCCATAAACGCTGTTTTATTACAATGTATACCTCACTTGCTCTATTAAATCGCTACCATAATGCATGTTCGTACACGCACAATAATAGTCTGGCGCTAAATTCAAATCGTTCAATTACTAAACGCTTTATTCGCTTTAATTGTGCGGTTCGAACGTCCGTTTCAAGCCGTTTATAAGCAGAAGTGAAATCATGTAAATAGAAGCCTCTCTTTCTTTCTGGAGACCGATTCCTGTTTAATATTTATTACAAAACGCGTACAATTGAATTGTTTATGTTTGTACTGCTCGGCTGGCATATGTATGTGTTTGGTAATAACCGTAGATGGTGAAACGCATTTCAGCGGCTGAAAAACACTCACAATATTGTAATAAACAAAGCGGCGGTCAAAAGGCTTAAAAGTTCGTTTCTTTTCTTATTCTGCTGCGTCAAAGGTGGATGGATGTAGCGGATCTCTCCGTATGTGTTCTTCCTACACACGCGTGTTTTAAATCGAAAAAAAAAACGAGAAAAGTTCTCTTATATTATTATTTAGCCCGCCGGTCTTTCATTCTCTGCCTGTTTATCGAGCAATTTACGATTTTCACGTGCGCACCACGGGGGAAAGCCTTAAAAGTCGCCTCTCACTTTGCAGAGAGATACACACAATAATTAACGGCTTATTCAGATTTTTCGTCATAAATATTTTTACTGCCCGAGAAAAGTGCATTCGATGGAAATCTCCTTCCTCTTCTTCCACACGTGCACTTTTTTCAACCTGCCGAAAATAATCCTTCGCGTGAGTGACTGATTAAAAGGGCTCGCCTGATTTACGGCCGCGGTCAGACATTAATCAAGATTTTATCCCAAAGCAGATTGCACGCCACTGTCACTCGCGTGCATATAAAAATAGAGACGTTTTGATGTCAGAGGTGTGTTTATAATTTTTGAAAATGCCTCTCATGAATGAGAACGAAAAAGGCGATCGTAAAAGAAGTGATTTTGTTCCCAAAACTTGCGACACCTCCGACGAATAGAACGGTTTTATTTATTCCGCTCTGAAGTGATCCCTCGAAAATCGCCAGCAGTGCACAAAAGTAAAATTATTCTCTCCCCCGCTTCG